TTACCATGTCCAGGCCTTTGTCCTGTGTGACCACATCCATTTCTGCAGCACTGAGGCCGAGGAGGCTGTAGTTTATAGTTTGTATACATTCGCCGGCTCCGCATCGCAGGCCGGACCCAGATGAAGTGTAATTTATGTTTGCAGACACAGATACCGTCAACATCTCCTCCGTTTATAGCTCTGCTCATAACCTCCCTCCTCTGTCCTTCTCCACAGGCTGATACTCCACATCAGCGCGTCCTCTCTCTGTCTGAAAGCACAGCCACGGGTCAGGAGACCAGGTTTCTCAGCGAGGATACGGGGAAGAGGATCTCTGCAGTGGTGAGACCTTTGAGTTCTCCATCAGCCTCATCTTCAGCTGATCACATGGTGATGAGATTATGATTGTTCAGCACCGTCACCTCAGCAAACAAGTCATTCCATGAGTCGTTTACACATCCATTTATCCCTGATTCAGGAATTAACTTTAACTTTTATGTCTCGTAATAATCTACAATAGGACCAACTTTTACTGGTTATTAATTTAATTTAATTTAATTTTAAACATTTGTGACCAAAGTCTGGCTCTTGGACCAATTCTGGTACATCGACAGGTCTGCATGTGGCCCAAAACAACTTTCTTGAAATATTTTTTTAAGGCCCAACATCAGGCGAAAACACGATTTAACCTGCTAATATTTAGATTTTTTTTTAAATAAATGTATATTACTACTACTTGTTACTGCTACTTATGGGCTGCATTCTTGGGTGCTCTAGGTCGTGATGATTTAGGGGCTAAATTTTAAATATTATATTTAATTCTTGACCGACTATCAGTTGCCTTTTGTCTCATTTTTTTTCACCTTTAATGAACTACTTTGCTTCAGCTTAAACTAGTGTTCAATTTTGTTCAAATCAACGTTTGGACCATTGATAAGTGAGTTTAAAAATCCAACTATGATCTACTGTAACAACTTTTACTGGGTTGTAAAACTTTTCTTGTGTTTTAACATTTTACGGTGCCGTCTGACTTAAACCCACGGAACCAGAACTGAAATCATCCACAAAAGTCGACGTCAAACCGTAGTGCTGTAAACGTCCGCAGTAATGAAGACGTACGAGGTATCAAAGAGGGAATAAGTCTGTACCTTAATGAGTTTTCAGCGTTTCAACAGCTTTGGAGACTTTGATGAATAATTTTGGAGTTAATCTGTCACTGCGGTGCCTGCGTTGGCCATTAGGAGGTTTGTTGATGGAAAAATAAGCCTGATGGAAAACAAGCTCAGAGCAGCTTTCACTTAGGTATGCACATCACTCTCAGCAGTTAGAGACGCAGTGGCACAGTGGAGCCCTGCAACATGTCACGGGCAAAAGAACCAACAATGACAATATTACTCAACCGTCATACATTCAAAACAGTTAGGATTGTTAAAATTGTGAATTTTAGCCAACTGACATACAACTGCTAAAATAAATGATTAGAATTTAAAGAAAATTAGCCAACTGACATACAACTGCTAAAATTTAGCAAAGGACATGGCTAAGGGTTAGCCAATACATTAGCAGGAAAGTCATCAAAATCATACAAAAAATAAAGGTCACATGGCCAAAAATACTCGGTCCAAAATAAAGGTCACATGGCCTTAAATGTGTGGCCTCAGTTTTAACCCCACATCACAGACAGGGAGCTCAGAGTCTCTACGGCTGTTTGTCTTGAAGTTAGTCGAAACATCATAGTGAGTGACCCCCGGAAAAAGCTGGACCACCACCGTCTCTCTCTGCTTCCCTACCACAGGGTCCATTTTCCTCCACTCCGGAAAGAGGACAGACCCCCAGAGAGCGGCAGTTTTTTTTCCATCTTGAAGTCTTAGCATCTTGAATTTCACTTTTCATTTTCCCCTCTCTGGCCCGGCTCTGCACTTATACCTGCTCACTTTCTCTTTCCTGTCCGCTCCCGTTTCCATACGGGAGATATTTCACCCTCAAACTGCAGCGCAGCATCCCATAAACTACTCTGGCTGGTGGTGCTGTGGAGTCCGTGGCACCGGGATTATTCTACGGCGGGATGAACAAGTTCTCAGTTGTTATGAGGAGCCGGTTTCCATGGAAGGGCAGTAAAAACCCTCAGACACTTTATCAACTTAATATTAACTGTTAAAGGCTCACATATTAAATGTCTGGGTGGGTTCCTTCTCCGATGATGCTGGGGAAAAAAAAAAGCCATAAATAACCGTAGTATTTGCAAAACGTACAATAACAATAACAATCCGGGCGCTTAACATAATACTGAGAGGCCGTGATTTGTGAACTGTCCTGAGGACTTTTATGAGCAGGACAGGAGAAAGTCCATCTGGACAGTATTTAATGTCAGCCTCCATTTAAGAGCTGTCCTCTGTGTCCCTCCTGGCACCGCAGGACGGGGTCAGCCGTAAAACAGAGCCGCCTCCTCGCAGGTCTTACCAATATTTAACACTTTGAAAAAGTAAGTGTGTAAAAACAAACGAGCTCTGTGAGAGCAGGAGCA